TTCCTGCGTCCCTTCCCCCCCCTCCAACAGCACCACGAGGTAAAGGGAAGGAGGAGAAACTCATAAAGCAGAATTTCAGGGAAGATGCTCCACGGACCCCATGGCACGTCCCTACGTTATTTGGGGTGACACCGGGATTTAACTCAAACCAACCCCCCCCCCCCCCGCCCCCCCCAACAGCAGCTCTGGTGGCCTCACGCCCGTGTCCTCGATTCCCTTTGCCCAAAACTCGGATGGATTCCACCGTTTGGATGGGTTCCCCCGACATCCCGCGTTTGGAAGAGTTGTGATAACCCAACGTTTCGATGGGAGCCCCTTTTTCCTCCGTGCTGTCGGGTAAATCCAAACAAGAAGAAGTTGAAACCCTGGTCTCGATGCGATAATGTTCTTCGGGAGGTTGTTGAGATTCCCCTTTGGTAGATCCTGATAAACTCCCTCCTTCTCCCGAAGCGTTTTTGGAAACGGGCCCAAAATGTTTCTCTTCGGAAGGTTTGCGAGAGGCGTTTTTGAGCATGTTTTTGAATTCCATGGTGGAAGTGGCAGAAATGGAAGAAACCAAAGATTTTTCCACCCCGGTGGCGGCGGCGGCGACTCGGCCTACAGGGCTGGAGAGAGGATTGGGAGAAGAAAAAAGGGAACGGTGCGGGATGGAGTGAGGGGAATCCGGGTATTGCTTTTGGGAAAGAACCACCGATTTAGGTAAATTGTTGTGATTGGAATCCGGAGGGAAAAACACATCGTTTTTGGCAGGAGAAGGGGATCCATCCGAGGTGGAATCGTTGCCCCGGAGGCCGTAGCTCCCGTAGATCCCCGGGGATGATCCCAAGGGATCGCAGCTCTCGCTCTGTTCCAGGATAGACCTCATGGATTGGGGGAAAGAGGATTTGACGCCGAATTCCTGGGCTCTTTGCCCGTAGCTGGAAAGAACGGGTTGATATTCGGCAGCTTCGGTGAGTTTGCTGGATTTTAAGATGGATTTGGTGGGTTTTTTCTCCAGGTTGAGCATGGCCGAGGGCGGGGGGCCGGAATAATCGAAATCACGATAATCTTCATCTTCTTGGAAAGAAGTATCGGGGTAAAACTTCTCCTGGGAGGAGTCCAGCAAAGAGGAAGGTATTTCCATGCTGTCAGCAGGTTGCTTGTAGAGAGAGGCCGGAGAGTCCCTGCCGAGGCCGAAGGGCCTGTAGGCGTGCACAGAATTGGGAATTTCTTGGGAATATCCATCATCCCGGCTCTGGAGGGGTGACCTCGTGCTGCTGGGAGTGGAAGAACCAGGGCTCATGATTTTGGAAAGGAGGGAGATGGTGTCGACGTTGGAGGAGGTGGGTTTGTCCATCATCTCGTCTTGGGTGGGGGTCCCGCTCCGTTCGTCCCGCACCGGGGTCCCGTCCACGTTGTCCATGGAAGTGCTGGTGGGACCACGTTGGAAATCGGAAGCGTGACTTTCCGTGGAGATGCTGGACCCTAAACTGCTGAGGATGGGAATATTCAAGTTCAGGCCGCTGAACCCGGGGTTTCCTTTCAAAAAATTATGGATTTTCATCTCCAGGCTGGGAGAAGGGGGTTCAGATTCCAGCTTGGCTTTGGAAATATCCGAGGATTGAGCCAACGAGGTTTCTGTTGGCAAAAGGGAAGAAGGAGTGGGAGGGTGGGATCCAGGAAAGCCCAAGGAATTGCTGGGAGGTTTAAAACTGGAGCTGGAGAGCCCTGGGGTGTGTCCAACGGGAGCCTTGGTAACTGAGGTGGAGGAAACCTCGGCGGTAGAGGAGTTTGGAGAATAACCAAAACTCTTGGAAATGAAGGACTGAGGATTGGGAGGAATATTCCTCCCTTTCAGGCAAGGGACAGTCGTGTTGGCCGGCGACGCCGAGGTGCTCTGCGAGGCCGCGTCGCTGGACTGAGCCGTGCTGCCAGCGACGCTCTGAAGTAAAGATGACAAACCTGGGGGGGAAAAAAAACATTGTGGTCAGATATTTGGGTTAACAACCAGTCAAAGAGACAAAAAGGGTTTGATATTTGCACTACGGACGCCGTTCCTTAAAATGACTTTATGTTTTAGCCTGAAAATGATAAGATTTTGCTGCATCGATATCGACGTCAGCGCCCACCGAGGCACAAACTTTCACCAGAGGCTCTATAAATATAAATAAAATATAAATATAAATTCTAACATCTATAGGAATAAGGAGGGTAAAAACTCAGCCTGGTTTTGTAGCCAGGTGTAAAAAGACCTCGTGTTATGGGGTCAGGGCTACAAACACCAGGAGCAGGAGGAGGAGCAGCACCTCTGGCTCTAAAAAAGACCTCGCGTGGGCTCCTGGTCTCACAAAATAACATAATACATTCCAAATAACCTTTTCTGCCTTAATTTTGGCTTTAGGATAAGCAGAGTGACCAGTCAATAAGAGGAAAAGGATTTGATATTTGCACTACGGACGCCGTTCCTTAAAATGACTTTATGTTTTAGCCTGAAAATGATAAGATTTTGCTGCATCGATATCGACGTCAGCGCCCACCGAGGCACAAACTTTCACCAGAGGCTCTATAAATATAAATAAAATATAAATATAAATTCTAACATCTATAGGAATAAGGAGGGTAAAAACTCAGCCTGGTTTTGTAGCCAGGTGTAAAAAGACCTCGTGCTCTGGGTCAGGGTTACAAACATCAGGAGCAGGAGGAGGAGCAGCACCTCTGGCTCTAAAAAAGACCTCGCGTGGGCTCCTGGTCTCACAAAATAACATTCTTATGGGGTCAGGGCTACAAACACCAGGAGCAGGAGGAGGAGCAGCACCTCTGGCTCTAAAAAAGACCTCGCGTGGGCTCCTGGTCTCACAAAATAACATTCCAAATAACCTTTTCTGCCTTAATTTTGGCTTTAGGATAAGCAGAGTGACAACTTTTCGGTGTAACCCCAGAGTCAGCCCTTCCCTCAAAGCCCCCCCTGGGTGGTACCTTGCAAGGCCGGCGCGGTCTGAGTCTGGGTTTTGGAGAGAGCAGATAAAATACTTTCCGGAGTTATTTCCACTTTGGAGAGAATATTCGCTAAAGGGTTGGAAGGAGCAGGAGGAGCCCCCACCCCGGGGGGTTTCAGGCCACTGGTAAGAGCCGTGGGGCTGGTGGGGGTCCCCGGCGAAGGTCTGGAGGCAGGGCTGACACCTAGGAGGGAAGCACACACCGCTCACGTCCCGTTTCCTCAAGAAAAGCGCTTTTTTTGGGCTCAAATACACCCCAAGTCCACCTCCGCTGAGCAGGAGGAAGGAGAAGCTCCAAATTCTGTATCAGAAAGACCCAGCCACGTTTTATTTTTAAAGTAGTAACTCATTCATGTTTTATTTTCACAATTAAAAGCTTTTTAAAAGATTACAAACCAAGGCTGGACAAGCTGGAGAGATGGACAGAGAAGAACCTCATGAGGTTCACCAAGGGCCAAGTGTAGGGTCCTGCACCCAGGGAGGAAGAACCCCCAGCACCAGTAGAGGTTGGGGGGGGACCTACTGGAAAGGACTTCTGAGGAGAAGGATCTGGGGGTCCTGGTGGCCACTAAACTCTCCAGGAGCCAGCAATGGGCCCTGGTGGCCAAGAGGCCAAAGGGATCTTGGGGAGCATGAGGAAGAGTGTGGCCAGCAGGTCAAGGGAAGTCATTCTCCCCCTCTGCTCCGCACTGGGGAGGCCACAACTGGAATCCTGCCTCCAGTTCTGGGCTCCCCAGTTCAAGAGGGACAGGGAACTGCTGGAGAGAGTCCAGTGTGGGGCAATGGAGATGATGGAGGGGTTGGAGCATCTCCCTGATGAGGAAAGAGAGCTGGGACCTTCAGCCTGGAGAAGGCCGAGGGGAGACCTTATTAATATCTAAAGGGTGGGTTGGAGGAGGATGGAGCTGGACTCTTCTCAGTGGTTCCCAGTGACAGGACGAGGGGCAACGGGCCCAAACTGGAAGATGGGAAGTTCCATCTCAACATGAGGAGGAACATCTTTGGGGTGAGGGTGGCAGAGCCCTGGCAGAGGCTGCCCAGGGAGGGTGTGGAGTCCCCTTCTCTGGAGATCTCCAAGCCCCACCTGGATGCTCCTCCTCTGGGCAAGGAGGAGTTGGACCAGATGGTCTTTAGAAGGTCCCTTCCAACTCTGACAATTCCATAAATCCATGAAAACTCCATTTTTAGCTCCGTGAGGCAAACCCCAAGGTCGGCACCTCTTGAGGACTCACCTGTGTTTTTCATGACAGACGTTAAGCTGCTCAGAATGGAGCTGATCTTGGCCAAGTCCACGTTGGCCAAGTTGGGCAAGGCGAGGGCCGGCGAGGGAGGGACGGGGGCCGCGCTGGCCACCTTGGGAGCCGGGGTGGCCACAGGGGCCTGGGCGGGCGTCGTCACCGTCACCGAGGTCGTGCCCGTCGCCGCGGTTGACGGGGCCGTTTTGGGGACGTTTTCAGCCTTGGTGGGGGCTGGAGGTGGAGCTGCCTGTTTCTCCTTCCTCTCTTCCACTGCGTCAGAGGAGAACAAGAGAAGAACCATCACCCTGAGCCACCACAACTACCCTGCTCACGGTGAGGAGGTTGGACCTTAAAGGTCCCTTTTTCAACCCAGACCCTCCTGGGGATTCTCTGATCCCAAAGAATTAGAGGATTTTTGAGGTCATCCTCATGGTAGGTCTGATTCCTACGTAAAAATGTGTTCCATAAATGGTTTGGGAGATGGGAATGGTGCTAAATTGGGACTTTCCTGCTCGTGGGCAGGAGATGGAGACCCAACAGCCCCCACGAGGGCTTTGTGCCTCCACTACACCCCACACGAGGCTCCAAAGGGGAGCTCCAAAGGGGAATCACGAGGGCTTGGTGCCTCCGCTACACCCCACACAAGGCTCCAAAGGGGAGCTCCAAAGGGGAATCCCCACGCAATTCCCCCCCCAAAAAATGCCTCCTCCAGACCCTACCGATAATTTTAGAAGTATCATCCTCCACGTCCGAGAGCTCCATGTCTTCCACGTCCCGATTATCCGTCACCGGCTCCGGAGAGATCATCTTACGGCCTCCGGCTACCGGAGAGTGGGAATTATCCTCTTCCCCCATCCCTTGGAAAGGGGATTCGGAGCCCGTGGGCGACGGGGCGTCCATACTGGGAGAAGGGACAGGAGATTCCTCCGGATACAATTCCCCCCCAAAAAAACGCCTCCTCCAGAACCTACCGATAATTTTAGAAGTATCATCCTCCACGTCGGAGAGCTCCATGTCTTCCACGTCCCGATTATCCGTCACCGGCTCCGGAGAGATCATCTTGCGGCCTCCGGCTACCGGAGAGTGGGAATTATCCTCTTCCCCCATCCCTTGGAAAGGGGATTCGGAGCCCGTGGGCGACGGGGCACGTGCTCTGACAAGCTCTGGGCAATCCTGCTTCAGCAGGGGAGTTGGACTAGATGATCTCTATGGTCCCTTCCAACTCTAGAAATTCAGTGAAATTCAGTGAAAACCTTAAAAACCCCCTCGAATCACCCCTACCCTGCAGCCAGAACTAAAAACTCAGCTTTTCAGCGCTGAAAAACCATGAAAAAAGAGAGAGGTAAAACCTTTTTCCAGCGACTTAAAAGAATATTCATTAAAATAACATTTTCTAATAAATATTCTGCTGGCTTGGCTTTTTTTTTTTTTTTGGGGTTGGTTGTTTTGCTTTCAAAAAAAAAAGAATTCTTTCTTTTTTGTTCATCTACTTCATATTGAGCGCAACTCGTGCAGTTTGTAGGATCTTGGATTTCTCAGATTAACTGGAATTTTTGCCCTGTTTAAGGACAAGGAGGGGGCTACAAAATTCCAGCCACGCACCAAAACTGAGCTTCCAACCAATTTTTTTGGAACATCTCCTTTTCTTGCCCAACCCCTCAACCCTGCTCTCTTCTGAAACCATTTGTGCAACAATAACATTGAATTTCTTCATTTGTGAATAAAGACGATGAGTTTTCCAAGCCCTGAGACCCTCCGTGGACACAGGGGGATGGTTGTTCAACAATAACATTGAATTTAGTCATTTATGAAGAGATGATGAGTTTTCCAACCCCTGAGACCCTCCGTGGACACAGGGGGATGTGGAAAGATGGGGTTGAGGAACATCAACACTTACGTTTGCCACCACCTTGACTTCTTTATATTGAGCTTCGTAAAATATCCCGGCGTTCTCCAGGGCTTCGGTGAGAGAGGGGCCATTTTTCACTTGCTTGTCCAAGCCGTTGACGAACTCTTCCAGCTTCGAACTGGCTTCTTCAAACTCCTTGGAGAACTTCTTTCCTCCAGTTTTGTCTGCAAAGGAGATCAAAGACCCAGTAAAGGAGGAGGAGCCACCACCCGCTCAAGGGGAAGTTGCTACCAGTCTATACTGGTTTTGAACTAGTTATTAGCAATAAATAAATTCAAGACATAGAAGTGTATAATTTTACACTTTCAACCACCCAAAGAGCGTCCCTTCATTTTGGAAATTGGCAAAAAAATCTTGAGTTTCCTTTTTTTTTTTTTCACCCAAGAAGTTGCTACCAGTCTATACTGGTTTTGAACTAGTTATTAGCAATAAATAAATTCAAGACATAGAAGTGTATAATTTTACACTTTCAACCACCCAAAGAGCGTCCCTTCATTTTGGAAATTGGCAAAAAAATCTTGAGTTTCCTTTTTTTTTTTTTCATTACCATATTCCAAAGGTTCCAAACATCACGGGTCACAACATCCATGAGCGACCACGACTGTAAACAACCATTTTCCAAGACCACACTCACAGATTTCTAAGCACATCTAGAGCTTTCTGTGGTTTTACAATTAAATTTCCTGTTAAAACAGCTCAATCTCCATCTTTCACTACTCAGATCATTCACCCCCAACACGAGCTGCTTGGTATCAGGCTCACAGTTGGCATTTTCAACCCACAGCCATTCAAGGATGCCTTAATTACCTTAAATCTGAAATTATTTAAGAGGTTCTGAATGAAGAATAAAACAAATAATATGTCTTTTAACAATCTATCAATAGTATCCAATAGATCTTCATCACTTCTGCTTTGTTTGAGCTCTGTATCCATGGGGTTTTACGAAAAAGTTGAAATTAACAAAGGTTTTAAGCTCCTGCTTGGTGGTTCTTAATCAATTTTGCCATAAATTTTCCATTTTGTCCACAGAGTGTGATTTTTTGGTCTAAGGCTCAACAGAACCAAGGAGCTCCCAAAACTCTCAGGATATTTGTTGTATTTGGGCCTCCTTCAATTCACAGAATCACAGAATGATTTGGGGTTGGAAGGGACCTCTGGAGATCACCCAGTCCCACCCTTGGCCAGAGAAAGTCCACCCAGAGCAGGTCCCACAGGAACGTGTCCAGGTGGGGTTTGAATGTCTCCAGAGAAGGAGACCCCACCACCTCTCTGGGCAGCCTCTGCCAGGGCTCTGCCACCCTCAAAGTCAACAAGTTCCTCCTCAAGTTGAGATGGAACTTCTTCTATTCAAGTTTGTGCCCGTTCCCTCTTATCCTCTCCCTGGGCACCACTGGAAAAAGCCTGGCCCCATCCTCCTGACCCCCACCCTGGAAGGATTTCCAGGCCTTGAGCAGATCCCCCCTCAGCCTTCTCTTCTCCAGACTCAAAAGCCCCAAGTCCCTCAGCCTTTCCTCCCCAGAGAGATGCTCCAGGCCCCTCAGCATCCTCGTAGCCCTTTGCTGGACCCTCTCCAGCACTTCCCTGTCCTTCTGGAACTGGGGAGCCCACAACTGGTCCCAGTGCTCCAGCTGGGGCCTCCCCAGGGCAGAGCAGAGGGGCAGGATGACCTCCCTTGAGGTTCTCCACGCTCTTCCTCATGCCCCCCAGGATGCCATTGGCCTCCTTGGCCACCAGGGCCCATTGCTGGCTCCTGGAGACATCCTAAACCAAATTAATTTGGGTTTTGTAGGTTACCTTTTAAGCATTTAAGTGTTTCTGTGCTGCAAACATCCACTCTCATGGTGGAAAGCTGCTTCTCTTTCAGCTCTATCTGGTCTTCCGAGCGCTTATACAGCAGCAATTCATCAATGAGAGACTGTGGCTGGAAAAATAAGAAGGAAAACAAGAAAAGAATCCTCATCACATTCAAAGGAAGAGAAGGCCACCAGCTCAGACCCGCTCCAGCCACAGACAAGAGCTAAAAGAGACACCAACTGGGCCAATCTTGGCATTTTTAACCTCAGGTCAAGCAGATCAGCGCCCTCGGGCTCAGGCAGGGGCTGGAATTCTGGCTGTGATTGTTAAGAATAGGGACAGGCCCTTTTTATTCTTTTTTTTTTAAACTCTACTAGTGCCCACGTGTTAATTTATTAACACACCACACTCCTTTTGGGGACTTAATTTAGATAAATTTCTTGCCACCACCTCCTGGATACAGTTAATTATTTTCCTCGTAGCTGCTGTGTTTTGGATGGAAGAAGGATGTTGGTAACACATATTGATTTAGTTGTTGCTAAGCGATGTTTATATTACGTTAAGGACTTTTTCCAGATTTTTTTCCTATTCTTTTCCCATTTTTATTACGATTTTCTCTTCCCTTACTATTTTCTATTAAACTGCCTCCTTTATCTCAACGCAAAGGGGTTTTTTTCCTCTTTTTTCTCCCTCTTCTCCCTACCCCATGGGGATGAAAGAGGGGGAAGCCCCCCCAAAACTCTTCCTCCAGGAGGAAGATGAGACCAACCCCACCAGGCAGCCCCTCGAGGCGCAGGGTCCGTGGATGTGAGCCAGGACCCAAGGACAGGACAGAATATTTCCACTTACTCTGAATTCAGCAACGATCTTGGACTTCAAAGCAGCTTTGGGGTTGGTGGATGCTGTTGGAATAGAGAAAAAAGCAGAGAGAAATTAAAGAGCTCCACCCCGACCAAAAAAGAGTCACAAAAGGCAGTTCTAATAAAAAAAAATAACAAAATTCAAGGAAAGACTCGCAGGCTGTTGTGATTTATTACATTTTCCCCTCCACACAGAACGTCCCTCAACGCTCGGGCTTTGTCACCTAAAGGGGACACGGCCAGATTGTGAAATCAAACTATAACTTATCATTTCTTTTATTATTTATTCTCTAGACCTCTATTTTGACTCATGAACAGAGCTGGGGGAACAAATCCTGCCGCCAAGAGACACTCAATCCATTGGTTTCTGGACAAAAGAGGAGAAATATCTGATCAGAAGCAAAACGTTAAACCTGGATTTCCTAATTATTGCTTTGGGGAAGCAGCTCGTGGTGTTAAAAGCAATTCTTAAACTTTTTTTTTATTAACCTTCTGATCTCAGGGCTCGGAGAGGCAGGAGATGAGTAAAATGGGGATATTCTAAAGGCATTTCCTTCTAGCCTGCCCTCCCGGTGCTCTCGGATGGACCAGACCACCTTCCACTTCTCCTTTTCTCCTACTACCTCATTTTTTGCTCTCCAAGGCTCCGAGAGGTTCCACCAAGCTCTTTTTCCACCTCTGCTCTCATAAAGATTTATTTTTTTTTTAATTTCACACTCCAATCCTTTTTTTTTTTTTAAAAAAAAGTGGTTTTCTAGCAACAACTCCTCGATGTTTTACATTATTAATCTGGGAGGAGGTTTCCAAGCCTGGAAATCGCATGCTGGCTCATGGTTTTAGTCCAGGTACTTTGCCCACTTTGGGGCTAAAAATCTTCCTTCTTTTCCTCAAGAAGGCAATTTTTAAGATTAGTTGAGAGAGTTCACATGGGTTTTCCTTACTTTGCGATTTCTTCCACGGCTTATTCGGTTGTTTGTTGAGAGTTTCTTTCAGCTGCTTCTGAGTTTTGAAAGTGGTACCTGGAAAACATTTCAGTTTTTGCAGTCTGGCGTTACGGGATTCCTTCAGGAATCTGGCTTTTTTGGGGTTTTTTTGGTCAAAAAAAAAAAAAAAGAGTGAACAGAAATTTGTTTTAAAATACCTAGACCAACGTCCTTAGAGGAGCTGCTGGATGCCCAAGAGAACCTAAGTTTACTCAGGAATACAGCAACCTGCCATTTTTAAATCAAGTTTCTGTTTGCCCTTACGCTACGACGCTTCAAAAAAAATAATAAGAATTAAAAAAAAATAAAAATCACAGTAACGACCAGATATAAAAGGAAAAAAAACCAAAACCACAAGGCATCGAAAAAGAAAACTCAGCTCTTTAAGTAGGTTTTTACCAAATCAGCATTCAACAGGCAAGTTGGGAAAATAGCCACAATACCTCATTTGCAAGTCATTTGAAAGATTTTTTTGAGTTACAAAAAAATTTGAGATTTCAGAATTTCTTCATAAACTTCAGCACTTTGACAGAAATTTCACTTTTCAACATGCAAAGCCCGAGGGAAGCTTTTTCACCTGCCAAAGGCCCAACCTGCCGGGACGACGACGGGGGGAACTCTAAAAACCTGAGGATTTCCCAAAATAAAGCAGAACCGTGGACAAATTTCCTTCAAGGATTTGAGTATGGGTTCATTTCTGGTTTTAATTGATTACCCCAATTTCCCGTTAACGTTTGCCATCTCAGCTTTTAAGCAGGGTTTTTTCATCATCACTCGAGGCCACTTCACCCTCCAATATTCTGAATAAATCCAATTTATTGCTAAAAAAGGACTCGAAGAGAGCCAGGGACACAAACCCTCTGCCAGGGGAGCCTTTTCAGGTCTTTAAAAGGTCCAAAAAAGGCTGAATTTAGTGCTGCTCAGGCATCACACCTCACTGGTTTATAGAAAGGAGATATATTCATAATAAACTCCTTTTATTCAGTGATTCTGGGTGTTTTCTTTAACCTCAGGAGGTAGTTTGGAAGGTAAGAAAAGGGTTAAGGGACTTACTCAGAGCTTCTTTTAGTGCCAAAATGGTCTCTTCGGGGTACACGTTTCTGTCCTCCCAGATTTTGAAGATTCTTTCGATCGATTTGGAAACGGAGGGATCCCTGAAAAAAAAAACCAACAAGAAGAGCACGTTGGGTTCTCTTTCTCCTCAACACCATCATTTCTCCTGATTCTAGAAAGGATAATTAACGTAAATAATCACTTATTCCAATCAAAACTTTAAAAGACCCTTCAGAGCAGGAAGTTCTCTCTCCAGGTGATGATTTTCGTTCTGATCAAGGGGTCCCAGTGAGACCAAGGTGGCAACTCCCTCTTTTGCTTTTGTAGCTGATACTCCCAGAATTTTTTCTCCCTCCTCCTCCTCATTCTTGGCATCTATTAATTGCATTTTCAACTCTCTCTTCTGGCAGCTTACATTTAAATTAAAGCTAATGAGCAGTCCCACTTTAACCTCTGCCCCACCTCGTGCCTTCAACCACCTGCTTTCTTCTGTTCCAAGGACACAAAAACCAGCAACATCAGGTTATTACTGAAGGAGCCACTTTATATTTTTACTCCTTTTTGCCCCTTAAAGACCATGTGGTTTGGGGAAGGTTGGAAACCAGGAGGGAGGGTAACGATGTGGTAACGATGGGAGAGGGCTCCTGGATGGGAGATCTCCTCATCCCACCTCACTCTCCTGAATTAAACTCTCCCATTTTCAGGAAAAACATCTTTGAGAAGGCATCACCTCGACAAAAATTAACAATTTTAGCAGCACAGGAACCAGAGAGAAGCTCACAGAAGCCAGGAAGGGATTAGAGTGGCATCTGCAATGCTTATTTTCCTGGTGGTCGACCACAGGCAAGACCCTGATGACTCCAAAGAGCTCCTCCTCCTCCTCCTCTTCCTCTCTGTCTCAGCACACCCCTCCTTTCTCTGAGAATCCTCTGAGATTTGCCCCTCGCACCCCTTCAGGGGAGAATTTTACCCAAATGAGACCCCCCAGGCAAATTAAAAAGCCAGCTCTAGCACGCTCCTTGTCGAGAACCTCAACCCCAACTCTTGCTGGGCCTCAACCCCAACTTTTGCTGGGCCTCAACCCCAACTTTCGCTGGGCCTCAACCCCAACTTTCGCTGGGCCTCAACCCCAACTTTCGCTGGGCCTCAACCCCAACTTTCGCTGGGCCTCAACCCCAACTTTCGCTGGGCCTCAACCCCAACTTTCGCTGGGCCTCAACCCCAACTTTCGCTGGGCCTCAACCCCAACTTTCGCTGGGCCTCAACCCCAACTTTCGCTGGGCCTCAACCCCAACTTTCGCTGGGCCTCAACCCCAACTTTCGCTGGGCCTCAACCCCAACTTTCGCTGGGCCTCAACCCCAACTTTCGCTGGGCCTCAACCCCAACTTTCGCTGGGCCTCAACCCCAACTTTCGCTGGGCCTCAACCCCAACTTTCGCTGGGCCTCAACCCCAACTTTCGCTGGGCCTCAACCCCAACTTTCGCTGGGCCTCAACCCCAACTTTCGCTGGGCCTCAACCCCAACTTTCGCTGGGCCTCAACCCCAACTTTCGCTGGCACAAAATCCTTGAAATTTATGTTTCTAGAGAGTTTGTGATGGTAGAAAAAAATAAAACCTGCATTTTTTTTTGGGGGGGAGCCATTGGAGCTCCCAACACACCGTTCACAAAATCCTTGAAATTTATGTTTCTAGAGAGTTTGTGATGGTAGAAAAAAATAAACCCTACATTTTTTTTTGGGGAGCCATTGGAGCTCCCAACACACCGTTACTTACTTCACCAACGAAGCAGCTTCGGGGAGCACTTCCGCGAAGGTATCCCGAAAGACAATGGCATTTTTTCTCTTGCAGTTCTGTATGACGTCGTTGGCCAAGTAAAAAAGGTTCAGCCGATGAGGAAAAGCAGCTAAAGACAGAAAAAACCCCTCAGATTCATCATTAAATAGAAGCGATCACGTCAGATGTGTTTGGGTAACACTTAAGTGCCTGCTTTTGGGGGTTTTTTTAACATTTCCATCAACGGCGCGTCCAAGTTACTTACTTCACCAACGAAGCAGCTTCGGGGAGCACTTCCGCGAAGGTATCCCGAAAGACAATGGCATTTTTTCTCTTGCAGTTCTGTATGACGTCGTTGGCCAAGTAAAAAAGGTTCAGCCGATGAGGAAAAGCAGCTAAAGACAGAAAAAACCCCTCAGATTCATCATTAAATAGAAGCGATCACGTCAGATGTGTTTGGGTAACACTTAAGTGCCTGCTTTTGGGGGTTTTTTTAACATTTCCATCAACGGCGCGTCCAAGGGGCAAGTCCAATGGGGAAAATTGGGGATTAGGGAGGAAATAGTCAATTTACAGAACTCTTCCCAAAAATTGGATGTTTTTGGATGCTGACTGGGGCTTTGAAAGGACACAAAAAGCCACCGACCCTGGGCTATTGCTGCGATACCCGCGTTGGAAAAGGAGTTGTGGAGCCTGAGACACCGGCATCACCCGCAGAAAGAGAGTGAACACAAAAAAAGGCACAAACTTCTGCAGAGGGGCAAGTCCAATGGGGAAAATTGGGGATTAGGGAGGAAATAGTCAATTTACAGAACTCTTCCCAAAAACTGAATGTTTTTGGGGCTTAAAAAGGACACAAAAAGCCACAGACCCTGGGCTATTTCTGCGATACCCACGTTGGAAAAGGAGTTGTGGAGCCTGAGAGACCGGCATCGCCCGTGGAAAGAGACTGAACACAAAAAAAGGCACAAACTTCTGCAGGAAAAAAACCAAAAAACCCCCAAAACAAACCTCCAACCGCTCCAGAGCGTGTGTCTGGTCCAGTCTCCCCAGCTCCAGCATCACCCCAGTTGGCTACTGGCTCAGTGCAATCTCCTACTTAATAGTTTAAAGGCAACTTATTTGTATTTTCTAAGAATCCCCAGGTATAATTGGGATTTAACCCCAGCTCTTGTGTCGCACACAAAGGGTCCCCAGATCCTTGTCCCTTCTCCTCTGAAGATGGATTTGGCCAAAAAATGTCCCTCCCTGTCCCCTTTCGACCTTCGCACCCAGACCTCCAAACAACCCACCTCTGGCTCTTCCTCACACCCAAATTCCAAACTTCCTCACTCCAAATTGAATTATTTCATCAATTATTTCTTCGGCAGCAGCGCCCGTAGCGCCGTAAGCTCCTCCACATGCTAATTAGCTGCTTCACTTCATTTAACCACACAATATGAGGATTTAAATAGAGGAACGGTGACAATAGATGGGTTTGTTTCACGTGCCCCTGAGCTCTACCGGGCTCCCACCTCCCCAGCTGGATTAGTAATCTCAATTTTTAACTACAAATCCCTGAATTCTCTTTCCCGCTTCATTTTCCTGGTGTCCTGACTTTGGCAGAGCCTCTTCATGTGGTACTTTCTCTGGGTTTTCCATCAGGAAGCTTTTAGGAGCATCATCCCAGGTCCAGACCCTTAAAACCCCCCAAACCAACCCCTTGAAGGGTCTCCATCTCCTCCCGCTCAGAAATAAAAGCCAGGAATTTCCCAAATCTCAAAGGAAGAGCCACTCCATGAGTATTTTTCCAAGCTCCCACGTTTTTACAGGGAACAAGTTGGTAAATTTTTATCTGTGAGGGTGGTGAGAGCCTGGAAGAGGTTGTCCCAAGAAGTTGTGGCTGGCCCATCCCTGGAGGGGTTCAAGGTCAAGTTGGAGGGGGCTTGGAGCAACCTGGGCTGGTGGGAGGTGGCCCTGCCCAGGGCAGGGGGGGGAACTGGATGGTCTTTGAGGTCCCTTCCAACCCAAACCATTCTGTGCTTCAGCCTGGAGAAGAGAAGGCTCCAGGGAGACCTTGGAGCCCCTTCCAGTCCCTCAAGGGGCTCCAGGAGAGATGGGGGGGGGACTCTTGATGAGGGAGGGGAGTGATGGGACGAGGGGGAAGGGTTTGAGCTGAAAAATGGGAGATTGAGATGAAATATTGGGAAGAACTTCTTCATTTTGAGGGTGGTGAGAGCCTGGCCCAGGTTGCCCCGAGAAGCTGTGGCTGCCCCATCCCTGGAGGGGTTCAAGGTCAAGTTGGAGGGGGCTTGGAGCAACCTGGGCTGGTGGGAGGTGGCCCTGGGGGGGAAGAAGATGATCTTTAAGGTCCTTTCCCACCCAAACCAGTCTATGATTGGACATACTGGTGCTTCCCAGAACTCTGTTGCAAGTTGGTTGTTCAAAATGAAGACCTTTCCCAGAAGGCAGCCTCACCGGGATGGCAAAGCTGAGGACACAAGCAAGGGTTGAGCTTGGTTGGATCATCAAATCCTCAACAGGTTGATGCCACGAAGCAAAGAGCCTCCAGGAGCCTCTAAAAGTGTCACCAACTCTTCTTCCTCACTGAGTGTCCCTACAGAGCAGTGGGTGAGCAAGAAGTGACATCCAGCCCCAAATCTGGGGCAGGAACAGGGTGGTGGGTCCAGGGGACACCTTGGATGTCCCTGCTCCCCGTGGTGGCCACAGCTGTATCACCCAGCCCCAAACCTGGAGCAGGAACAGGGTGGTGGGTCCAGGGGACACCTTGGATGTCCCTGCTCCCCGTGGTGGCCACAGCTGCAAGATCCGAGCCCATTTCTCACCTGAAACTTTGCTCTTTTACATATTTTCCAGCTTTTTTAATTTTACTGGGTGTATTTCTCCTCATTCCCATCACTCCAGCAGCTGCCCCGTCAAGGAAACTCAACTTCCACATCCCAGAATAAGCTTTTAGAGCAATAAACACAAGCCCAAGGTTGAGTTACCAAAAACTCTTATTTATAACCTTCACCTAAAAGGTGTTTACGTGGGAGATTGGGAATAATTTGAAGGAGAAGAGGAGCAAGGAGCCCTCTGCTCTGGAAATTCCAACCAGAGCGATGCCACACTCACCCCCCAGCTTCCCAAAATGATTGGGAGGCAGCTTTCCCCCCCAAAAAATAATCTATCAGGTCATCATCTCATCAAAAATGTTTTTTTTTGCAATTTAATTAAAACCCCACACCACTCTGCTAATTCACCCCCTGGTCACCGGATGCTCTTTCGATCCCGGCAACGTTATCCACCAGCAAGAGATCTTAATGACATCATGCAAAATAGATCTTGAAGATATAAAAAAACCCTTTGATTTCAACTTTTCAACGTAGAAACAGCCTTTGAAGGCAGCAGAAAAATCCACAACCAACTTCCAAGAGAAACACAGGGAGCAGGGCTCACACCATCACCTCCACCACCGTTTCCACGAGCCCCCCCGGCAGAATTAATCCAGCCTCCTCCATTTAGAGCTAATATTTATATAAAACCAAGATTATAAAACCAAGATTCACCCAAATTGCACAGCAGGAAAACAATAAAATAAAACCAATGCTAGATTAGAACAATCCCTAGGGCTGTAGACAAGCTGCATGAAGAAAACCAAGAGCTTTCGGGTCCAAAAATGCACTTTGGCCAAGGGGTTTCAACCCCGTCCTACCTGATGGGTGAACAGCTTCTTAATTACTCTTAAAACTGCCTTGATTTAAACCAAAAAGGAAAGAAAATTGCCTTTTTCTTGTCTATATAACTGAGCCCACCCCAGATTTTTTGCTGCACCCACCGGCGCCTGGTATTTCTAATTTAACTCCCCTTTAAGAGCTGCTCGTGCGGAGACGCCGCTGAGAGGACCCTCCTGCACAAAAAAAAAAGCTCTTAATTACCCACCCCAGCTTTTTTGCTGCACCGACCGGAGCCTGGTATTTCTAATTTAACTCCCCTTTAAGAGCTGCTCGTGCGGAGACGCCGCCGAGAGGACCCTCCTGCACAAAAAAAAAAGCTCTTAATTAACAACAAAAACATCATCCCAGAGGGAAATTTATCCCAGCCCTTACCTCGCAGAGAAATATTTATGACTTGAAGCTCTTGGCCAACGAGCGTGACGGGCTGGCACCGGGGACAAGCCTTGTCCCAGGAAGGGAGATGCTCACGCCAACAGCAAAGCATTTATTTAAATACCACCACTCATTAATTATTTTTTTTATTATTTTTTTTTTTTTTAATTTTTTTTTTTTCTCCCTGAAAGGACCACATTATTTGTCCAAACAGACACACCTTTGGCTAAACTGGAAATTTCCCATCATCCGAAATAAATACCTAACAGCAAAGTGCAGAAAAATCAGCCGAGATTCGGTAAATTGAAGACGCAAGGAAATACCTACAGGAAAATGCAGAATTTTCCTATGGGAAGGGGGGGGACACAGACACCCCCCCCAGGATCACCAATGAAGGTGAAATCCCTTTGCAGCTCGAGGCAGAAGCACCAACTGCCCCCCAGGACCTATTTACTCTGATTTATAGGAGATATAGAATAAAAAGGGCAGTTTTTCCCCTTTCCAGTTGACATTTTCTCCAGGTTTTCTGCAAAAAACCAACCCCCCAACCACACACTGCCCCCCCCGGGGGGGGGAACTGCCTTACACAAGGGTTTCACACTTAGGATGCCCCTCTGAGAGATACGAGGACACTTCTCCCCCCCAAAAAACACAGGCACTTTCATCTTCACCCGGGGAGACACAGCCCCCAATCCCACCCCATCCATCCTTCACGAGGAACTTCCCCGGAAAAAAAGCAGCTTTTCCACTTTTTTAGAAGTTGGAATTTAACTCCTTGGAGTTGCAAATATTTCAAAAGGTGGAAAAGGAACCCAAAAGTAAGCTGGCTCTTTGTGATCAGCACTGAACTCCTCCTGTTTGGGACTGTGACCTCCTGCTGTCTGAGAACACGGGGAGGCCCCCGGGGCAGAAAATGAAGTGTAGCCCGAGGGAAAAACGGGGAAAAAAGCCCCAAATTAGCAGGAAGTAACCAAATAATCAGGGCTGAGGGTGCAGGAGCATCACAGCCGCTCTCAAGGGTGAGGAGATGTTTAAGGAGGTACTTGGAGACCTCCTGGGCAGGGCCACCTCCCACCAGCCCAGGTTGCTCCAAGCCCCCTCCAACTTGACCTTGAACCCCTCCAGGGATGGGGCAGCCACAGCTTCTCAGGGCAACCTGGGCCAGGCTCTCACCACCCTCCAAATAAACAAGTTCTTCCCAATATTTCACCTCAATCTCCCATTTTTCAGCTCAAAACCAAAAATCTTCCCCCTCGTCCCATCGCTCCCCTCCCTCATCAAGAGTCCCCCCCCATCTCTCCTGGAGCCCCTTGAGGGACTGGAAGGGGCTCCAAGGTCTCCCCAGAGCCTTCTCTTCTCCAGGCTGAATCACACCGCTCTCAAGGGTGAGGAGATGTTTAAGGAGGTACTTGGAGACCTCCTGGGCAGGGCCACCTCCCACCAGCCCAGGTTGCTCCAAGCCCCCTCCAACTTGACCTTGAACCCCTCCAGGGATGGGGCAGCCACAGCTTCTCAGGGCAACCTGGGCCAGGCTCTCACCACCCTCCAAATAAACAAGTTCTTCCCAATATTTCACCTCAATCTCCCATTTTTCAGCTCAAAACCTTTTCCCCTCGTCCCATCGCTCCCCTCCCTCATCCAGAGTCCCTCCCCAGCTTTCCTGGAGCCCCTTGAGGGACTGGAAGGGGCTCCAAGGTCTCCCTGGAGCCTTCTCTTCTCCAGGCTGAAATCCCCACTTTAAGGTGCTCACCCCAAACTAAAATACAGAGTCCAAGCTGTGAACCCCCCAAAAGCTGAGGGGCAGGAGCCGACAGGACAAAGGGAACAATCAAATTAATTCTGATG